ACTTCAAATTGAAATAATAAAAATAATGAATACCTTTTTTCATAGTCATGGTAAAACATATGTCATAACTAGCACAAATTAATTTTGGTTCATAATGATAGAGTAAGGGTAGTTTGTTAAAAATCATAAATTTGTTTAATCCCAAAGTTTTACAGTGAAATGTTGGAATTTTCAAAAACCTTAATATGTACAACATTTTGATGCAGATTTTCTTACTTCATGAGTGTACTTGGATAACAGCTAGGCAGATTATGATGTAACATAGCTTTTTTATTAATTTAAACAAATCTTAGCTGAAACAACAAACAAAAATAAATTTCTTAGATTTTACTAAAATACCTCTTATCATCTTGGACTTAATTCTTGGCAATATACTATCTGCTGTAAGTTTATGCCTTATTGGATGTTAACTATCACAGTAATTATTAATGCCACAGGTTCTCTTGTTTACTTTTTAATAAGGGAAACATTATTTTCCTAACTTATAAACTACCAGTATACCTATTTCCTCTTTTAATGAACAAATAAAAGTCTCTCTATTATTATCACTTAATATGGATAATTTAGACAGCTACTTGACTGTCTTTATACTAAACTGCACACTTAATCCAGTAACCTTGTTCATTTTACCTTGCGTGAAATGGGGTAGTAGGCATAGTTTTTTTATATTTTATGTGATAGTTCTGAGACGCTAAATCCAAATTTTCGACCTCGGCGACCTTCCGGTTCACCGCCAAAAAGCCAAAAATCGGCGGAATTTTGCACTTTTTTATGTTTGTCCAATTTTGACCCTGAAGCTTAACTTTTTCATGAAAAACAAATATGGTAATTTTAAAAGTAGACAAAATCATCTATAACGTAAGACCAAAATGGTTATTTCAGGCCTAATAGTTTCCAAGATTTGTTTCCGCAAATAATGATAAAATTTGCCAAATTATTTTTTTTAAGTTTGGCCATGTTTTACTCCTAAGCATAAATTTTTCACTGCAACAACCCTGACTATTTTCAAAGTACATTTAATTACGTAAGATTTAAGACAAAATTTGTTTTTGTAAGGCTAATTGTTTATGAGATATGGCTCTTCAAAGATCATAAAATCTACCATCAATGCTAGTATTTAAAGTTTCAAGCTATTCAGTTTGGCCAAATCTTATAAAAGAACCATAATCGTATATATTAAAATATTTGGTTTTTCTTTTCCGAGTTTGTTTGGCTCTTCTACCCGACCGATTTTCATGATTGCGGTCTCAAATTGAAGGTATGCACGCACAGATTTGCCATCAAGCATCGGCATATATTTATTTATAATCCCACTTGGCTTATACGTAAACGAAATTTGCTGCCCATGTATTTCTTATGGGGGTTAAATTAGGGTTTTCTTTTCCGAGTTCGTTTGCCTCTTCTACCCGACCGATTTTCATGATTGAGGTCTCAAATTGAAGGTATGCACGCAAAGATTTTCCATCAAGCATCGGCATATATATATATATATCTAAGATTGTAAGTTTTATTCTAAAACATAATTGTTAAAATGGAAAGAAATGTATCGTAAAATGTTCATACTATCAAGAGAAATAGAATGAAAAGGAAACGGTGAAACCCGGTTTTAATATCACTTAAACCCATTTAGAGGCCTATTTTGAAGATACTCTCCAGCTTCCGTGTCCATGATCTCCCGTTTATTTTCAGCCCGGTCAATTTTTCTATCTGGATGGCTTGTCAGTGTTTACAAGCATGCCATTCCTTTCAACACCATCTAATAGGTCTTCGGGCTCTGGAGTGTCCACATCAACGATATCTGGGCGATTCTCACAAGACTGTCCCCACTGCATTGGCCTCATATAATAGAGCACTTCAAACCTGCTTTTCAGCAGATACATGCATAGCCACATATCTTCTTAAAATTGCAGGAGATCATCTGTATAAGGTGTGAAGGAGCCGCTTCCTTTGACATCGCCCTTGGGGAAAGGCCGTGTGACGTTAAAACGTACCCCCATTCAAGAGGGTCAATATAATACCAAGCCAATCCTGTAACTGGTGATAGGTTCTAAGTGAGTGGAAACTGGCAGCATTAAAATTTATCTTAGTTGCAGCCTTCGCAAAGAGCTGATGAAATGAATTAAAAGCTTGCAATTTAGGCTTTTAATTACGCTACTTCCTCAATACAGGTCAAAACGGAGATGCTTCACTGCATCGGCTATGTCGTTAGGTGAGATGTGTGAGTTGGAAAAAAAACTGCTGATTTCTCCTTGAGGTCTGGATTCTTTTGAATTGCTTCAAGAAGCTTAGCTTTTCCCTGACAAAAAAAAAAAAACATGTAGTAGTAGAATCACATCCACTGAAAACATTTGCCCTCAGAATGCGAATGTGGTGACGGTCAGAAGAAATTGAGGTGATTGAGTACAGGGTATCTGGCGTTTTATCTCTTCCACACTTTTAAAAGTAGGCGTTACTGTGGGATTAGTTAGGCCACTGAGGAGTGTAAATCTATGTCCTCACCTACTATGACCAATTCTTCAAAATTAGAGGCCTTTTCAATAGCTGTAGTAGCCTATCGACATCTTCTTCAGCCTGAACAACCTGAATGTTTTCGGTTTCCATCTTTGACTTCAGTAGGTGGATGGTCGCACTTTGTTTTTATCGTTAAATGAATTGAATTGAAACATTCTTTATTGTTCTTTTCAAATACAATAAGGTACAATACAATACATCTTTATACACTAAGATTAAATACCTTTCTTGTGAAAATTGAGGCACGGTTCTCTCCTCAAATATAACCTCAGTAGAAGAATGTGACCGAGCTCGGTGAATACGTTCAGCAATTGTACTCTTTTCAGCCTCCGTAGCATACACGCCAAACACTACTAGGCATGGGAGACCCATGGTTATATTGCGCTGAGACGCTAAATCCAAATTTTCGACCTCGGCGACCTTCCGGTTCACCGCCAAAAAGCCAAAAATCGGCGGAATTTTGCACTTTTTTATGTTTGTCCAATTTTGACCCTGAAGCTTAACTTTTTCATGAAAAACAAATATGGTAATTTTAAAAGTAGACAAAATCATCTATAACGTAAGACCAAACACTATAATACACACATATAACACTATAACGTAGCATACACGCCAAACACTACTAGGCATGGGAGACCCATGGTTATATTGCAAAATCTATTCGTCTCTAATGCAAGGAACAATCCCGAGAAAAGCAGTGCAGGATGTTTAGGTTCTCCCTGTACAAACATAAGTGTTGATGAACAGCTTTTTAAATTTGAACTTCGAAATATCATGCCATCTAGTAAAGCTTTGATGGAAGATTTGATGAACTTTGATGAGCCATATCTCGCAAACTGTTAAACCTCATTTTGGTCTTAAATTGTGGGTAATTTAATGTACTTTGAAAATAGTCATGGTTGTTGCAGTAAAAAAGTGATGCTTCAGGGAAAGGTTTGCCAAACTTTAAAAAAGATTTAAATCATTATTTGCTTAGCTAAATCTTGTAAACTATTAGGCCTGTAATAACCATTTTGGTCTTAAATTATAGGTAATTTTACCTACTTTTAAAATGACTATAGTTGTTTTTCATGAAAAATTTATGCTTCAGGGTCAAAATTGGACAAACGTAAAAAAGTTCAAACTTCTGCCGATTTTTACGCTTTTTGGCAGTCATCCGGAAGGTCGCCGAGGTCGAACATTTGGATTTAGCATCTCGGAACTATCACATACAACATAAAAAAGGAAACCTACTACCCCATTTCATGCAAGGTAGACCCTGCTTTTGATATAGTTGCTACTAGGTTAAAAAAAAAGTTGCAAAATAAGTTTTTAGCTAGTTAAAAATATAATACATAGAAGTAAAATGTTAATCCATTTTTTATCGAATCTTTTTTTGTTTTCTGAAACAGTTGAGTAAAGATAAATTTTAAAACTACTTGCTGGCATGGTTGGGTTACATGATTAAGTACATTGTTATACGACTTCATGCAAGATTCTGCATTGATGAGTTTTAACATGAAATTGTTAAAGATATTATGACACAATAGGACCATTCCCAGTTAAGTTATATACCATAAGTACAAATGAGACACAAACTAATAATTATTTAGATTTAATTTTGAAATGAGTTTTATCTAAAAATACGTCTTGAGACCCATTAAAAAATGGCTTAATCATACTTCTGTAGTTAATCTATGTTTTGTTGAGGTTTGACTTTATGACTTAAGTTTGGGTTTCATAATTAAACAACTAAACAATGATATTACCAGTTGTATTAAGATTATCCTTTTAATATCCAGAAGTTACTTACTTTAATTATTTAAAAACATACAGTATAATATAAGTATAAGTAAGTTATGTGTAAATTGAGTTAAACATTCAAAATCTTAGACCATAAACCTAATTTGAAAAAGTCTTAAGATTTTGCAATCAAATTTAGAAGCGCCTGGACAGAATACAAGCTTTTCTAGAAGAAACTTTATCTAACTCTTTACAGCCTAACATGTTACCCAAACTTCAAACTTTCTTGGATGGCTGTAGAAAACACAAAAAACTATAACAGCCGTTATTAAACAACTTGGTAATATGCTAATTGTACTTTTGGCACTTCAATACCTCATACAACATGTATAGGTGATTGAGAAGGTCATCATCAAATTCACTCTGTGGAAAACTAGATGTGGCATTGCTGTATGGTCGAGTCAAAATGGTTAGATTTTAAATAAATTACATTTCTTACTTTGTTATACAGAATGTATGTCGGTTGGTAGGCTGGCAATATTACTGTCTTACACAAGAATCTGAATGATACAAAGCAAACACCATAGGAGTATATAAAATACTAATGTTTCCGACTGTCTTTTTGACAGTCTCTGACTTTTCAGACCTTTTAAATATTGCGATTTTTTTTCTATTTATCTTTGTATTAAACTTCAAACTACAATTTTTGTTGGTTTGATAACATGTGTTTATACTTTCATCAAATTACATGAAGAAACTTGTTAGGACCACTTCATCGCATCTGCTGGGATGGAGATTCAATCCAAAGAAAAGCTGATTTTAAATCTGAAACACAGGATTTTGTTAAACAATACAGTAATAAGCATAAATCACTATAATTTGATGGATGTCTTTCAGCCAGTAAACAAATGTAGGTACTAAATTGTCATGTCTATACAAAAACCAATAAATAGCCAATAAATCTCTTTTAGTTTATTATTTGTTGACTGCTGTGTAATAATACTATTGAATTGGATTTATGAATATGGATTTGTTCAACAGAGTTCAGTATGCTTGGTTAATGTTCTTCATATCTATCAAAGGATTTGTCCTAAAGAAAAAAAAGAAAAAAAAATGTTTAGTGTGCTTACAAATTGACAATGAGTTGAGCAAACTATGTTTCATACATACTTATCCTACGTAAGTTATTTAAATAATGTATATAATTAATTCATTAATTCATAATACACATTGTAATTTTAACACAGGAATAAATATTAACAGCTTAAACAAATAATTGTTCATTATTTTAAGTTTGGGAAAAAGTAAAATTTATGAGAACGTACGATGTTTTGTAACTTAAACTATAATATTTCGCTTACAAAGTAATTTGATGTCTGCCATTTGAAGCTTGTTTATTGGTTTGTCGTTCAACCAGACGATTTTCCGTCATTAATTTAAAGCGTAATGCACATAGTGTATAATTTAACAAACTGTTAATTATATATAAATATAAACATCACATATACAATATTTGATGTTGAGACATACTAATAGACATAGGGTAAGATTATATTTAAAAAATAAATATTTTTGAGGTATTGGCATTTTAATCTAATACTGGGATTGGTAGAATAGTTTAAAAGTATATTGCTACTTTACTGTTGCATCTCAACGCATTTATAATATAAAGCCACCCATAGAGCGATCAAGCGTGAAGAGAAATGGTTTTATTTTGCGAAGTAAAGCAAGAAAATTGAGCCCGCCAGATGGTTTTCTCATTAAATGAAGAATTAAACGCACAGCTCCCTTGTCTTCATAGCGGAGCAATAAAAGTGTCAAGCAAATCTACAGCATTTCTCGGCTGTGCGCGTCTGTCGTGGTGTCAGCAACCATGAGTACTCTTATTTACATAGTTTAACATAAGAGATGCTATTTTGATTTGATTTGATTATTTACACAGCTCCATAACAATAGATTTATAAAGAAATGGCTTCATCAAACTAACGATTAAGTCTTACCATTTGCATTAGCATAAAGAAGTTAGCATTAACCAGGTTAGCTGTATTCAGTTTTTGTAAAAAAAAAACATAGTTGTATAACCATTCACAGAGTAAATGATACTACCTAAAACTGTTTTTCTTCCTAGTTTTTGTTACTGTGATCGTTGATGTACTTTGTCCTTTTAGTTTAGTTTAATTTAAGACTAAGTATCGGCAGAAATCAGTAATGCATATCAGCAGCTCAATTCATCTAATTCATTCTTCTTTAAAACTGGCTATAACTTTAACGTGGAAATGGAATGTCTAGTTAAAGATAACGCTAAAACAAAATAAACATAAACACTGCATTGGTTGCCTTTAAGATTTGAGACATTTTCTGCAATTCTGGCGTATTTGCATATCGCATTTACAAGTCTTGTTTACAACCCCTTTAGTTATAGCTGAAAGCATATTGTTATGTTCAGCTACTTTCAAAACATGGACTTTTACGAATACAATTTTGTATTTTACCAAAATAGTTTTTTGTGAATTGATATTATTAGGAAGAATAGCAATTTAACAAATTTAATATAACACTGTTGATGATACCTTGAGGGGGCTATCATATTTACGAAGGAAATGGTATACAAACAAGTTCCTATCTTCACTACATTTTTTACGATGTAAACACGATACTGATACTGATACTGATGTTGATGATCGTTGGTTGACTTAGCAGTCTATGTTGACAAAATGTAGTTAATATTTTTGGCCATATCATCCTGGACCTGCCATATTAGAATGACATTATGTTCTAATGCTATGGGAGGGATGAGGCATTTAACTTCTTAAGGTTCCTCTCAAAAAATGCGATGCTGCTATCCGGTTTAGTTACCTTTCGTCGTAATGGAAATATCACATCCACATTACATGGATCCATTGTCTTAAAGTTCACGGGGAAAACTTTAGACTCATCTTCTTAAAAAGAGTTATGTTAAAACCGTAATTTATGGCCTCTTTATTCATATGCTGTAGTAGTAGTTTACGCAACGATCGCGTAAAGATAACTTATAAGGGAGGATATGTTTTCGTTTATAACCTTAACGCGACTGACAGCGATGCAACTAATCATTGTACCAAACACTAATCGCACCACTCATCAACAATTAAATTGGTATAAACAGAAGCTGATTAGTTGACTATCAGCTACACACTGATTGGTTGACAATTCTAAGAACTGCAACGGCTACTTTAAAAAAAATGGTCGTAGGTAAAATACTAAACTTAATGTAGTACAAACATGCTTTAAAACGATTTCGTTGTGCTACATTTTTGACAGGAAATAAGTTGAAAGCTAAAGCAAGTTTGCTAGTTTAGGTGTTTCCCATAATTACTTGTTCCCTCTATGTTGACATTTTGTATTTGGAATGATTTTAATAAACATCTGTTCTATTCATTGTTTTTCTAAATATACACAATTTTACAGTACACTCTTTACTTATTTTTTTTAGAAGTAATATTCTATTACAACGCAACGCAGTTATCTAACAGAATTGTTAATGGAACTTTTAAAATTAGCGTTGGAATGAAATGAAAATGCTTCTTTATTGAGGCGAACTTAGTACAGCATGTTCCATTTTTACAGTTAACCACTATTTGATTTTCAATTAAATCTTTTTAAATAACATAACGTTTAACAAGTACCTAGGTTTGCGGTTACGGGGAGGGTATTAAAGTGTTTTTTGGTAAAATATTAGTAGCTCAGTGTAAAATAAATAAATTTGACAAGTTTGGTCAAAATTCATCCATAAACAAGCAAACTATAACAGTTTACTTATTCTCCATAAGAATAACATAGGAATTTTAAATTTACAATTTATTGCATTTTATCCGTGACCAATAATGGTAAAATAACACTTCATTATACTAATTTTTTTGTTTTCCAAGCTCTTTGAAAATATTAAAACATTAATTGGAAAATTTTATGTTTTGAGGGTCAAACATGAGAAAAATCAATTTTACCTCATAAAACCCCCGGTAACACCCTGTTCCCATAGTCCATGCTGGTTCGCAAACTCATTCAGTTTATCCCATTCAACACCTCAAAGCAAAATTTCATCAAAATCGAAAAAAAATACTCAAGTTATCGCGTTCACGGGCGTATATATTTATATATAAATCATTGCTTGAAAACGTTTGTATTAAACGAAAATTTGCAATGTTTCATGTTTCATTCATCATAAACTCTATCAAGATCTCCTCAAGAATATATATAAATCTATATATACACTAGCAGAGCACCCGTCCTTCATATATGATATATACATATATAACAATTTGAACGAATAGTGTTTTTGGCCTCTAGGGACATCAAAATGAAAAAGTATATTGGTCCCGGGTCTAGGTTTTACCGTGCCACCTACGTTAATAACTACTTCCCTATAGGGAAATTCGCTATGAATAATAATACAACATGTAACGAACAAAAGTAAATTAGAAATTTCTTATCATAGGAAAAAAAGTTAATAAGAGGCTAATGTTGATCATTAAACGTATTTGACATTTTATTTTAATTAGGAATGTATATGAAGTTAAAGTATATCCAAATCCTGTTTACTCACGCCCATTGACTCGGTCTCTCCATCGCGATGCGTTTAACAGTGGCTAATCAACTCGTGATGGATCACATAAGCGAAGGGGAGTACATTCCAAAATCTCATGAATAAACATGCCATCGACTTAGATATCATGGAGTTACAGTCCAGTCTGGTTGGCATATTTATTCAGATTTGCTATTTTTAATCTTGTTTTCTCGAGTGTTAACTCACTGCACTATAACTGAATACTTAGAAATTCTAACAGGATACTTTCATGAGAATCGTTGATAGTTGCATTTCTTACAGGATGAAGCACTTGAGGATTTTAGTTGGAATATTACCAACAAATCACCAAATATATTAACAAAATGAAAGTATTTTAAATTTTGATTAATAACATATTTTCCTACAAACATTCCTATATTCGTTAAAAGTGCGCTCAATTCGACACTTTCTGAAAACTGAGGGAAAGTCCACCGATATGAAAATGTGGAGGATGAAATTACTTTCAAATAATGTCATGAATTTCCATATTGAGTCAGAGTTAATTAATATATAGACTCCTCTGTTCACGAATACAGCGTTATGTCTACTCACTCTCGCTCTTCTGCGCTTGTCCCAAGCATAGATAATTTTGTACATGAAAAGTATGTTAAACAATTTAGTGAGAGTATTTTAGGTGCTGAGTATACCTTAATTAATGTTAGTTGAAAAATAACCAACCAAAAGGTCCTAAAAGACTGCAAAAGGGCTTGAGGATTATCCAATTGATTTGATTTCTGTCGAATGTGTCAACTTTTAACAAAGTTAAACTGATAGGAAGACTTATTGTAAATTGTGGCGTCTTGCATATCACATCAACTATCGCCGTTACAAAACTAAGGGAGAAAATATAATTTTAGATAGAAGCTTACTTGTTGGTGGTTCATTCAACTATATTCCCCTTAAAAAGGAAAAGGCATATTTTCTCTTTATGAGGCAGCATTTTCTTTACACCGTAGTGATTCGAACCCTTTCGTGGTAAGCCATATCGGGATAGAGTCAGGAATACAGCTCATATTATTAGACTTCAAGGCCCCCTATAAGATGCCTATATTATTGGTATGGTATGCAGGGTTACACTAGATTGAGTAATCCATTTGAATTTAATTATTCAGTTAAGTGTAAGAAAGTGCTATACGTGTAAACAAATCATTTATAATTTTATTTAATTGTACTAGTAACCGACCTTTCTCTGAGGTGTGCCTACAGTCGTCACGTGACACTGATCTCTTCGTCGTCATCATTGTTGTCGTCATCAGCCCCTGGACGCCGGTGGACCCCTGGTTCGTTGCTGGCGTCGCTGAGGTCGGGATGGGGGTTGTTTCTGTTGGGAAGTGTCTGCTCCCTGCTGCCACCCGCCGCTAAAAGTTCCCGCTCCTTGCAATTGCGCCATTTCATTCGTCGGTTTTGGAACCAGATTTTAACCTGCATCAAATTGATAATGAGCATTGTTGAAGTTTGTGTCTCCGGGATGGATTTCAAAAACACAACAGAAAATTATTTGTTTACCTCCCATCACCACAACAATGACAAATTAACAGTAAAAATGAAAAGTTTTAGCTGGTCATATGGAGTAACAACACATACAAATCTAACAACACGTGCAAATCCAACATATTATAAACAATTAAAATGTTTGGAATTTAAAAGGTACTTTTGTAATTTTTTACACTCTATTATTATTTGCCTATTTAATAGCCATACACCTTAAATTTACGATCATCCAAAAGACGATCAATTTTTAAGTTAAACTTTGCCAAAGTAGCAGTTAATGTATTCCTTACCAACGATCTTAGTATGGAGTGCAAGAATTAAGTAGGGTAAACAATGCCATGTTGAATCACCATCGCTATAAAATCTATAACTAAATAAAATTTATTGTTTCAGTATATTGTTAGATTTCACTAAATGAAAAAAGTAAGACACTTCAGATTGGACGAGTCGGATAGTGGGAAGAGACTATATTAATTAACATTGTGAATATTCTATTGTACAGACGGATGCAAAATGAAATAGTAATTCGTAAAATATGTTTTAATGTTATAACAACTAAGAATCTACGGAAAAATATGATAAGTCATTATCTTTGCTTAGTACCTGACAGTTGCGAAGATAAATTTCTATTACCTACCAAACACTAGTCCTCTAAATAAATAAAAAATTCGGAGTTTGAGAAAAGATATTGCAGTTTCAGCTCTAACGTAGAATCGACCAAGGTATATATGTAGTTGACTAGTTGTAGAAACGGAAACATCTTCTACCCTCTAATCTAGTAGGCTCATAAGATAGGTAAAACTTATGCAATCCACGAATAACTCCACTCTTACCAATCAGACCAGTAAACTTCACTAGTTGTACACGTGCTAATAAACAGCTAACTAAAAATATTGAACACCATAAATCAGCAAATGGTGTTTCGATGCAACATATTCTATTCAAAAAGGCTCAAACGGCTGAAATGGGAGTGTAATTGAAGCTAATGGATGGTATAAAGGCGATAATGGTTTAATTACTTGGGTATTTAATCAGGGAGGGATAAGGTGGCTATGTTTACTATAGGTTAACAAGTGCGTCCGGTCAAATCGTTCAGTAATTCATGTATTCATGTCAGCCAGTGGTTCCCACAGACCGAGTAAACACTAGCTTTGCTCCCCTCGATCACTTAATGGACAGTCTGTACACACAAAAATATACCCTTACACGATCATGTTTTGATTTCCGGACCGGCGGGCATGTCGGACGGCGCTCACTGGCGAGTGTCGTTTGCATAAGCTCACTGCTCAGTCCGCATCTGCAAATCCAATCCTTCCACGCGTAGAGGATGTTCAGATCCACAAAACTGCTTTCTTTAGAATAAGTCTTTTATATTGCTTTTGATGTAACCTTCGGAAATCCTAGGAGATTGGAGATTCAAATCTGGTACTTATTTTATAAATTGCATTACTAAACAAACACCTAACAAATTATTAACCATACTATAGAGTTTATTTATTTATTTTGTAAATTATTATAATGCTGAAAGATATGGTAGACACACAAAATTAACATTTAATATAATTCGAAATGTTATATAACATGCATTCTAAATAATATAATAAAATTCATCATTCTGATGTAATAACCTAGTATTTTAACTCAAGACATTACAATAAATAATACTCCCAGCACAGAAAAACCTGCAGACTAAGCGAATTTCAATTTGTCTGATTGGATTTCAACTAACTATTTCCACAATCAAATCATATTTATTAGCTTATCGATAACACTAAAAAGTACTAAAGTTTGCTGCTACGGGGAAGGGAAGAGTGTTGTCGATAAAACGTTAATAGTATAGGATAAAATAAATAATCTTTTAAATTTTATAAAAATATATCTATAAACAAGCATACTACAGCCGATTTGTCAATAAGAATGATATTATAGGAATTTTAAATTTACAGTTTCGCTTTTATTTTCTCCGTAACATGTAATTGTTGGACAATGCTTCAAAGTACAAAATTGTTTGTGTTTTAAGCTCTACACGATGGTTGTAATAAAGACTGGACATTTCTATATTTTAAGGGAAATCTTTGAAAAACTTAAACCCCATTACACCCTGTTACCATCACCCGATCTTGCTGGTTCGCAAATTTGATGTGAGATTAGAAAGGTTCTTTTAGCGAATTTCCCTATAGGGAAGTAGCTATTACTGAAGGTGGCACGGTAAGACCTAGGCCCGGGACCGGTTTACTTTTTTCATTTTTAAGTCCCCAGAGGCCAAAAACACCATTCGTTCAAATTTATATATATATTGATAGTTAAATATGTGTCCATGAACGCGATAACTCGAGTAATTTTTGTCCAATTTTGATGAAATTTAGTTTAAAGGTGTACTGTAAGGCGGAATAAACTTGAATGAGCGAACCAATATGATTGGACCATGGGTACATGGTGTTACGGGGGGTTTTATGGGTAAAAATTGGGTTTTCTCATTTTTGACCCTTAAAACACAAAATTTCCCAATTTCTCTCTAGACAAAAAAACAAAATAAAAAACAAATAATTTAGTACCTATATCAAAGTGTTTTGGTACGGTAACGCAGAAAATTTAAATAAATTTCATGTTATTCTTATGGAGAATATTGTAAAGTGTCGTGGTATGCTTGTTTATGGGTATATTTTGGTCAAACTTGGCAAATTTATTGAGTTTATACTAAGCTAATGATACTAAAAACCACACTTTATTAGTTTTCTTTAGCATCAAACCTAGGTACTCGTTAAACCTAATGTTATTTAAATATATTTAATTTAAAATCTATTCAGACAAATAAAAATTTGCTTAGTCAGCAGGTTTGCAGCGACGGGGGTATTTAGTTTTAATTGTTCTCCAAGGGAGTCCATGGAAGCTAACAGCCATCTTGGATTTGCCCGCCACAAGAGCAATGTTAATTTCGTTAATTTAAAACAGTCACTGAAGAGTTATTTACCATCTCAAAATATTTTTTCAAACACCAGAGTAATTTAAATAATAATTGTAATTTAAATATCTAGTAAACTGTGGGATAAGAAAATTTCTTTGTAGTTGTTTAATTGCTTTAGCAGTTAAAACGTTTAGGCTCCAAGGACTCTTATGACTACGACCTAAATGTTCAAACTAGTTGTTGGTGAATAAAATTAATTTAAAAGGGTAGGCGTATTAAATCTTTTATTATGTGTTTACCTATTTTTACATATATAACATTTTGAACGAATAGTGTTTTTGGCCTCTGGGGGACGTCAAAATGAAAAAGTAAATCAGTCACGGGTCTAGGTATTTCTGAGCTGTCTACGGCAATAGCTTCTTCCCTATAGGGAAATTCGCTAAAAATAAACGACAAACAAAAAAGAAACATAGGTAGTGATTTATTTTACTTTACTCGGGTACTACTAGTTGAGCGCCTGCAGAATATGAATGCAATATAGGTGCTGCGTATATTTTGCCTATACACCAATGCGAGGCGGGCCCAAGTGAGATGGAAAATGTTTAAATAACAAATCTAACAAAATGTAAACATTAGCAATGATTTAAAGACATTTAACGACAATAACATATTAAATAACTACAACAAAACAAATAAATGTGGACAAAGCAATGTACTTATAATTATTATTGAGGCAGATTTAAATATCTCAAAACCAATATGTGGAACCAATTATGTGAGCTAAAAAATACATTTCCATGCCATCTCTAAAGCCTAATCATTGTGTTAAGCAGTTAACATATCCCTAGAGTTGGTATTTAAATCGTAAACGAACCTTAAATTCAAAAACTAAATCTAACGCTGTTATAGTGTTAATTAAATCAATCAATGTCCAAACAGGAATAAACTTCATGTTAAGGAGAAAATATGATAGTTCGCTGAGAGAGAACTATGTTAAATAATTTCATTTTCATTGATGATTTTGAGATTCTATTTATATGTTGTTGTAAAATATCTTGACTTAGAATTTTTCGACGGATGAACACATTAGCATCCCTTCCTTAAAAATATTACACCAAATTATTATTTATTATGTAACGCGTTACCCAACAATTAAAAAGTATTAGTAATCCTAATTAGTTTAATGAAAACTGCTATCGCGATATCTGGTGAAGATGAGGGTTAAAACTATGTTAAGGGATTTTTCGAATTTAATGATTTAGATTTTAGTTTTTAATATTTCTGGAGGACTATAATAGTTATTTGTGCAACTAGTGAGAAAAGTGAGCAATTGTACTTTGAACTCGAGTTGCACATTATACTTTTCCTACAGTTTAACAGTTACCATAAATAAATAAATTTGTGAAGAAACCTAACCTATTTTTACACAGAAGTGAACTTTTAATATAACATTTAATGTGAAGTGACAAATACAACAGTACAACAGCTGACCAGCTGATTTACAGCCAGTGCTGCCAACGTATTTCGCGCGCATACGACGTTGCCTGCATGTTACGCGCTCACTATTTCGTGCCTTCACGTTGCAAATCTGGAGTGAGACAAAGTAATTAGAGTGAGCTAATTAGACTGATGAACGAATTGGCCAATTTGCTTTCTCAAATCAGTGAGAGAACATGTACATTGTTAGGTAACTGTAGGAAAATTATAGTATATATGTAGGAAAAGTATAGCGAACCACAAACAGGTTAAATGAAAGTGCACACATTTTACCCACAAACATGCAAAAAATGAGTACGGCATTATTAACAATTAATCACTATCGTCCTAGTGTATTGGTCATAAACTGTTTTTAAGTACCGCCAAGAATTTAATAGGATATTATAAAGACAAATACATGTATGGTAGGTTTTAGTAAAACCTAAAATTGCCCAAACGACATTAAATGTCATTAAAAATAAGCATAGTATGAAATTTTCCTAGGGACAGAAGCTATTGTTGTAAATGGCACGGCAAGGCCTAGATCCGG